TGTGTCAGAGAGACTGTCGTCTTGAAATGTAAAAATTAATAGTAAACTAATATTTTCTGGCCCAGCTAGGACGCAATGGACTGATATTTTATAATGTGGGTTCCCTTGAGTGATATAACAATAGAATAGTATCTGTTTTAGTCTCACTTTTGAGAGCTTGAGTATTTTAATCGATATAACCCATTTTTTAAAACAATTGTTTGTTTTTTTTGGGGTTTTTTTTTGGGGGGGGGTATTCGGTAATCAGACCCCAGTATTTTCGCAGATGGACGTTTAAACTTGGAGGTCCCGCTTCGTATAAATGCAATAGTGTTGATAGGGGCGCTACACCTATGTCCTATACCTTTTCACATTTCACATTTTACATTTAATTTTTAAATCCGACCCACGACTTAGACGCGTTTGTCCTTACTAGTTGAAGAACCTTTTAGCAGATGAAAGTAGCCAAGATGACAGTGGTGAATAATTATTATTCCTCTTATCTTTACCAAGATATTTGTTATGGCTATTTTTGCTATTATCACAATTGCTAGACTGTTAAATGGATCCCTTTCCAGCTCCAGTGGCGTAACAATGAGGGCTCTTTGACTTGTACGTATATCATGTGAATTCGATTCGCTTATGAGAGAGATTTTATCAAATATCCCCGCCTTTCTCCTTGGATTTACGAGTATCTTAAACAGCCCCGATTAGACCTAACTTGTAGAGCAGACCTAAATTTAGTCCATAGGAACGTAAAACATATTGGCCCTTACAACAATTCTAAGAGCAGCAACATTCTTGAAATGTGCTACGCATAAAATACCCCCCCCCCACCCTTAAAAAAAAGCAAATCAACCACAACAACAACCCAACCAAACAACAAACTCAGGATAACAGAAAGCAGGCAAATAACTTTGGCGACAGTCGTTTGCGGGACTTCAAAAATTTAAAACTCAAGACCATGCTTATTACTTTCACTCTATTGTTTCACCTGTCTATCTGTCTCTGCCTTGCTTCTTCCATGCGTTAATTAATGACCGTCAGAGTGTCGATGTATGACGTGCTTCCCTTTACCCAAACAAAAGGAAAAGTGCTACTCACGTGTCTCCCCTGCAGGAAGAAGCGTCACTTTGTGAAGAGCCTCTTCTTCTTCACACACCATGATGACTCCCTGAAGCGAATGTGAGGCATCGTGATGAAATAAGCCGCTCGTCAAAATAGTGAAATAAAAAATACCGGCAATTTTCTTCGGGTTTGACAATCTTTATCGAATTCGTGGCACAACTTATGTTCAGATATCTCGTTAACAGGGGAATGAATGTCTCCCATACTTTGCATGGCACTTTGTATCATTTTTTCTTAACTTAATTATATTTTCATACAACGGAGGAGGTTAGATTTTAAAAACCTTCTTGATAAATGTATATAAAATACTGCAAATCTGCGTCACGCAGAAAATGATATTGTTCTCAGCATCCCCCGCTTCTCTTACACACATTTTTCATATGGCTTGGGTCACTGTTCACCAATCACACTCTTTAGAGGCAAATCTAGTTACAAAAATGTAGTGTTATAATGAACACTTTTTGTGCTAAAGATTCTCAAAACCTGCGTCCAATGAGCATCGTGTCACGATTAAAACAAAAGACTGACTTGCTTTTAAAAGCAATATTGTTCCAGATCTGTAGAAACCATCCACTGGGATTTTAAAAAATTAGGGTTTATTAAGGAATTTTCTTAAATAAATTTAACGGGTGTTTACAAAAATGTTGATCTATTAAGGCAAATGGCTACAAGTCATTATACAAAAGCTGGAGAGTCTATGTTTGAAAGTTGAGGAAATGTTTGACAATAAGTTGCGCGACAAATTTTTGACTGCACTTTAATTCAATAATTCAATAGCTCAAGAGTTCAATAGCCTGGCTGTTCCTGCTGACGCATGTCTCCAACTTCATTTTAGTTTTCAAAAAAGAGTTTAACAGAATTTGTAACACAAATAGGTCATGTAAGTGCTGACGATGAGATGTATTGCTAGATAGTATCAACAAAGAAAAGAATGACCAGAAAAGATACGGACGATAGATGTTTGATAGGAAAAAAAGGAGCAGAAAAGAACAACAACAACA